GTGAGTTAACAGAAACACTATCGTAAACACAACTATTATAGACTAAAGCAAGAAAATGATCACTTTCAATGTTTTTCATTTTCTTATCTAATAAAAAAATGGACACAAATGAATTTTTCTTATATTTTGTTTTAGCCCTAGTATTTAATTTTATGAAACCAATTTATCAACACCTTTATCCAATACGTAACATCATTATAGTATAGATCCAAAATAGGTGGTATATTTTAGACTTATGATACAATGTAATTGTTGTAAAAAGAATAAAATTAATATGCAGCAATCGTTGCTAATTAAAATTCATTATGGTATGCGTGCAGATTATCACCTAGTGAGGATAATAAGACCATTTCTAATGGGATTCTCTCATTGGGATTCTTAATACATATATTATATGCGTAAATAATTGTGGGGTCCATAATTATTATGTAACTCCATAAATAAGGGTTCTTAAAGATTCTTAAAACCTTCTTTTAAGAATCCTTATCTATGGAGTTTCACAAAATTATAGATCCCATAATTACTTATACTTATATATATATATATATATATATAACACATATATTAAGAACTCCAATGGGAAAAATCTTCAGCTGCTCTAAAGTTGTAGACATTAAAGCTCCGATTGGTATAGACTTTTGCTTTAGCTTGTGGCTTTAAGCTTTAGACTGTAGAGACTTTAGCTTTTAAAACTTTGGCTTTTGTCTAAAGCTTGAAATTGTTGCTTTAGAAAAACATGAGCAAAATAGATGAATCTTTTTAAAGATTGGCTTTAGAAGTTTTACACGAAATTTTGAGTGGTCTAAAACCTAAAGTCTGGTTGTTTAAAATTTTGACTTTAATGAATTTACAAAACCTAAAGCCTATAAAACCAGAATACCAATCGGTCCATTTTTATAGTAAACAGAACGAACTCAAGAACACAGGTATATAAGACGGTTGCTTTGTTTTATTATCTTTCAGAACTTTCTTATTGCTTTTCTTATGGAAAACACCTTACATTAAGCTCTCCTTATATAGCTAATAGGATCCTTATCTTTTCCTATTACATAGGGATCTAGGAATCTTAACTTGACTTATCTTAATCCTAAATCTATTAGTATTTAGTTATTCAATCTTTCCTTTATGAATAACTTGTTGCCTAAGCTTTATCTTTGAAGCTTATCCAACATTCTCCCTTCTAAGCTTCAACTCATTGTCTTGAACTTGAATCAAGTCTCTCATTTCTTTGAATTTGATCTTGGCTAAAGCTTTAGTTAGGATATCTGCTTCGTCCCGGGCACATGTTCCACGTCTATCAGTCCTCGTTCCATGCACTCTCTAATAAAATGAAAACGCTTATGAATGTGCTTGCTCCTTCGGTGAAAAACAGGGTTCTTGGCCAAGGAAATGGCCGACTTGTTATCCACCTTTATCAACGTCTTCTCTTCTTTACTTCCGGTTATCTCACTCATAAGTTCTTGCAGCCATATAGCTTGTTTGGTAGCTTCTGTTGCAGCCATATATTCTGCTTCACATGACGATAGAGGTAACACTTCTTGTTTCTGAGAGCACCAACTAATAGGTGTTTCACCAACGCAAAATATGTAACATGTTGTGCTCTTTCCATCATCTGGGTCTGTGTTGTGACTACTGTCACTGTATCCAATGAGCTTCTGCAACTTTTCTTGCTTGTACTTCAATCCATAGCTTATAGTTCCTTTTAGATATCTTAAGACCTGCTTTAATGCATTCCCATGTGATTCCCGTGGTGAGTTCATGTACCTGCTTAGAACCCAACCGAGAATGCCATATCTGGTCTTGTGTGCATCATGTATCTTAAGCATCTATTCTTCTTCGATACTGAGTGGCGTCAATCTCCGCTTCTTATACAGGTTTTGACATTTGTAAACCAAACTCCATAGGAATATGAGTCAGATTTCAATTGTCCATGCTTGCTTCTTCTAGGACACGTCTTGCATAGGCTTCTTGGTTTATAGTAATACCATTCGAACATTGCTTAACTTCTTTGCCGAGATAGCATGTCAGTAATCCAAGATCAGACATCTCAAATTGTTTGGACATTGCGTTCTTGAATTCTTTAACAGCAGGTGTAGAATTCCCTGTCATGAACAGATCATCTACATATGTCGCAACAATGAGTAAAAGTTTACCTTCTTGCTTACGGTAGACAGAACATTCTTTTTCACATCTTGTGAATCTGAGGCCTTTTAGGATTTGATCCAGCTTTGTGTTCCAAGCACGAGGCGCTTGTCTCAACTCATATAGAGCTTTAGATAGTTTGAAAACTTTATGCTCTTCTCCCTTCTTTTCAAACCCTTCAGGTTGAGATACATAGACTTCTTCACTTAGCTCACCATACATGAATGCTGTTTTAACATCTAGATGGTGAATCTCCCAACCATGAGTCGAGGCTAGACTAATAAGAAGTCTTATAGTCTCTATCCGAGCTACTGGCGCAAAAACTTCTTCAAAATCTATGCCAAGCTCTTGTACATAACCTTTTGCAACGAGCCTTGCCTTAAATTTGTTGATAGAACCATCAGCATTCTTCTTTACTTTGAAGATCCATTTAAGACCAATGATCTTAGCTCCACATGGCTTGTCAACTAGTGTCCATGTCTTGTTTTTGTTGATTGAATCTATCTCCTCTTTACATGCTTTTGTCCAACGGACATACCTCTTGGCTTCTTGATATGTTGATGGTTCATCATCCATAGACAGTAGTAACATGACACCTTCAATCTCGGCAAGCATCACATAATCTTCTAAATACTTAGGTGTAGTTACTTGTCGAGTTGATCTTCTCGGACCTGTCTCAATATTTGGCTCTGTTTCCTCTGTTTCTGCAGTTACATCTTGATATTGTTGTTCTTCTTCTTCAGTGATATCAATATCTTTCTGCGTATCAGTGGTATAAGGACCATTACCATCATCAAGACTTGAACCCCACGTCATACTAAAGGTACCAGATTCAGCCTCTTCTTGTTCATGCCCTCCCTTCCAGTTCCAGCATGCTTCTTCATTAAATACAACATCACGACTTACAACAATTCTCTTAGTACTTGGATTGTAAAGTCGATAGGCCTTTGAACCCGGTTCAATGCCTAGATGTATCAATGCTAAGGACCTGTCATCTAGTTTCTTTGTGAGTGCAGAGTCAATCTTAGCATGTGCAATGCAACCAAATACGCGTATGTGTCCAATACTCGGCTTTCTCCCTCTTAGTCTTTCATATGGAGTTTGATCTTTCAATGCTCGAGTAGGGACACAATGAATTAAGTATGTTGCATGCCGCACTGCCTCTCCCCACATGTAGTTTGGTACTTTCATTCCCTTTAACATGCTCCGTGTCATCTCCATTAGAGTACGGTTTCTCCTTTCGAAAACTCCGTTCTGTTGTGGAGTGTACAAAGCTGTTAGATGTCTCCTGATCCCACTGTTATTGCAAAACTCTTGAGTCGAAGTGAATTCCCCTCCTCTGTCTGTTCGGAGTGTTACTATGTTCTTGCTAACTTCCTTTTCCACAAGAGACTTAAACACTTTGAACTTCTCAAATGCTTCACCCTTGTCTTTGAGTAAGATGGACCACATATACCTCGTACAGTCATCAATAATGACAAATATATATATCTGTTTTGAGACAAAGTTGCTGGACTAATTGGTCCACATAGATCAGCATGCAATAACTCCAAAGCATTAGATGATCTATAAGTTGTGGATGAAGGGAAGGAGTGTCGGGTTTGCTTACCTACCAAACATGAGTCACAAATCTTCTTTTCTTCTGTGATCTCAGGTAATCCATAAACCATCTCTTTTGTTGCCATTGTCTTGATCGTCTTGAAGCTTATATGACCAAGTCTTGCGTGCCATCTCCATGGTTCTTCTTTTAACCTCGTGAGTAGGCATGTTGGTTTCCCAACTTGCAACGAGATCTTGTAGAGTCTATTAGTTGACCTTAATACTTTAACCAGTAGACGACCATTAGGATCTCTTAGAGTGATATAGTTGTCCCTCATTCTCACATCACAACCTTGTTCCGTGGCTTGTCCTAAGCTTAGTATGTTGCTTTTTAGCTCAGGTATATAGTATATATCTGTCAATAACTTCTGTTCCCATTCTTAGCTTCAAACAGTATTGAACCCTTGCCATTGATACTAACACATGATCCATCACCAAAATTTACTCTTCCTTTAATGTTTTCATTCAGCTCTGTGAAGTAAACTCTTTGACCTGTCATATGATTTGATGCTCCGTTGTCTAGGTACCATAAGCCTTCTTCTGCTTTGCTTGGTTCAAGAGCTTTGGTAATACTTTTGCTTCATTGAGAAATACGGTTTCGTGAAGATATAAGCATTGGTGTTTTAACAGAAGCCGGTACCGAGCTTAGCTTCATCGTTGGTTTAGTATCTGAATCTCTTATGGTTTGTGTCTAATTTGTAGATAACCTGGCAGCTCTGATACCAAATATAGTAAACAGAACGAACTCAAGAACACAGGTATATAAAACGGTTGCTTTGTTTTATTATCTTTCTTAACTTTCTTATTGATTTTCTTATGGAAAACACCTTACATTAAGCTCTCCTTATATAGCTAATAGGATCCTTATCTTTTTCTATTACATAGGGATCTAGGAATCCTAACTTGACTTATCTTAATCCTAAATCTATTAGTATTTAGTTATTCAATCTTTCCTTTATGAATAACTTGTTATCTAAACTTTATCTTTGAAGCTTATCCAACAATTTTTTGCTACAAAAATAGTCTCACACAGAGAGCTATCTTATTTCTCCTGTCAAAGAAGTCGTTTCAATAGATTCTTATGCGCTACTCTTCAGAAGAGTGAAGGAGGAGTTGCAAATCAAGCAAGGAGTTTATTTAGAAAGTCAATGTTAAGTTTCATTAATATAGTGGGCTGATGAATTTATTGGGCCATAAAGACCCAATAAAATGGGAACTAAACTCCGAAATCCTCGCTATCTTCTCTTTCTTTCCGCAAAGCGATTCAGAAGCGATAAGGTGCAAAGAAAAAAGAAAGTTCTTTATCAATCGATGGCGAAGAGAATCGGTGGAGCCGGGAAATCCGGCGGCGGAGATTCAAACATTTTGGCTTGGATCTCTAACTCCGAGATCGTATCCCAGGGAAGACGCGCCGCGGGAGATGCCGTGGGAGTGTCGAAGAAGCTGATCTGGAGCACGGGAAAAGCGGCGTGGATCGCTGGGACGACTTTTCTGATCCTTGTTGTTCCGTTGATCATCGAGATGGATCGTGAAGCGCAGCTCAACGAAATAGATCTTCAGCAGGCAAGCCTCCTCGGTGCTCCGGCGTCTCCTGTGCAAAGGGGAATGTAGAAACCCCTAAGAAATATGTGGAGCCAACTTCGAGGCGTTTTGCAACTTGGGTTTCTCTGTTTTTTTATCTGTTTCTGTTATGATTTGTCGGATTCGTGCAAGAGTGCTTACACATGCTTCCTATAAAACTTCGAACTTGTTTTTAGCTTCAGATTGATTTTGCAATCGATAGTAGCAATAAGTTAAGTTAAATTAGATGATTTTTAGGCGATGATGTTGAAGCTTTTTTTTTGTTCTCTGGAATCCTTTCATGTATGGCGTTGTTTAATTTATTAATACCGTTGATTTTTTTTCTTCTCCTTTGAAGTGGATTATCTATTAATGGACTCACGGTGGTTTTCATTCTTGTTCATGGTAATTGAGTTTTATTCTTTTCGAGAGAAATCCCTAGTATATTATCTTGGAAAATTTGTTGTTTAGACTTCAAAAATTTTATGGTAAAAGGTGAATTTTTTGAGTTTGTTATGATTTTTAGGCTTGAATTGTGTATAATGGTAATGTTTAGGGACGATTTCGCACTCAACACATGTCTAAAGTCGTAGGTTTAGGATAGATTTAGGAATTTACGGTTTTGTTCTTAAAATAAATATATAAAACCCCAAATTCATAATTGAAACCGTGGGAGTTCTGATCCTTTGATGTTGAGTTGACTTGCATTGGTTATTAATAGAGTTTTAAGAGACATTATTTTATTAAGCTGTTTAAAATTTCTAGGTATGGAGTTTGAGTTGCCTAGTCGTCTACATGGTAAGGGCTTGGAACCTCAGGTTAAGAAGATTAATAACAGTTGCCGACTAGGACTTCTGATGTAGATAAATATTTGGGATATTTCCAAATATTTATTATTTATTTTATTAGTTATTTTAGATAATTATCTTTATTGTTTTAGGGTTTTATGGTTTTCATATATATACGCTTCTTATGCCTAGAGTTGTATTCAGTTAATTGATTATTAATAAAAGAAGCTTTGCTTTATACCTAAAATCTCAAATAAATCGTATAATTTAGGAGATGTTTGGTGTTTCGTTTAACCGTTGCCGTTTTATACGATTTCCTCGAGTTCTTTTCGAGAAAACAAAGTTTTTACGGTTTTTATCGTAAAACTCAAACGATAGGACAGATCGAGACGAAACGGGATACATTTCGACCGTGGTTCGGAACATGATCGTGCCGAAGGACGTATGCCTTGAATCGAGGACGTGGGATATCGAGGCTCGGGATGGTCGGCTCGACGTACGGCCAGCCGAACCGGACAGGTTCAGCTCGCCGTATGGCAAGCTACCCGGGAAGCATCTAGCTCGCCGTTCGGCGAGCTAGTCGTGATGTGACTAGCTCGCGGTTACGGCGGACGCGGTTTACGGCAGACGCGGTTTTTCGCGGCTTTCACGGTTTTGTGCTTAACTCGGACGATCGTGTAATCGATGTTTGTTTCGTTCTTTTGAGATAACGATTTTTGAGTTCTCCGTGGATTTCCTTTGTTTGGAATTTTATTAGAATTTTATAAAACGATTTCTCGAGTTTTATAAAACCTATTCTATTTTTCTTTTTGCGGAAAGTAATGATTTTACACTTAATCAAAATTATCGTAGACGTTGATTTCGAGATTACGGTTTTTGACACCAATAGAAGTCGTTTTATAAAACTCGAGAAGTCATTTTATAAAAATCGAGAAATCGTTTTATAAAACTCGAGGAGTCGTTTTAGAAAATTCTAATAAGTTTCCAAACAAAGGAAATCCACGGAAAACTTGGAAATCGTTATCTCGGAAGAACGAAACAAACGCCAATTACACGATCGTCCGAGTTAAGCACAAAACTGCGAAACACCGCATCCGCCGTAAACCGCGAGCTGGTTTGGCCAAACTAGCTCGCTGTACGGTGATCTATCTCGACCAGAGCTAGCTCGCCGTACGGGGTGCTAGGGGCGTCCCGAATAGCTCGCCGTACGGCGAGCCAAACCTGTCCAGTTCAGCTAGTCGTGCGTCGAGGTAAATATCCCGAGGCTCGATCTCCCACGTCTTCGATTCAAGGCATACGTCCTTCGGCACGATCATGTTCCGAACCACGGTCAAAATGTCTCCCGTTTCGCCTCAATCCGTCATATCGTTCGAGTTTTACGATAAAAACCAAAAAGTCTTGTTTTCTCGAAAGAACTCAAGGAAATCGTATAAAACGGTAACGGTTAAACAAAACACCGAACATTGCCTAAACTATACAATTACTCGAGATTTTTCGTGAAATATCGTAAAAATTGTGTTTTTTAAAAAACTTCGCGTGTATCCTAGAAAACGGCAACGATTAACCGAAACATCGAGAAACTTATTTAAAAATAGCATCGCTTCAGGAAACGATCTCGTATAAAGTCGTAAAACGGTTTAACCGCAAAACGGCTCGAAAGAACCTAAAACGCGATAAAAGCCAATCTTGCGACTTTAACGAAATTTAACCCGAAGATACGACGGTGTTTTGACGATTTACTCACAGAAAGACGATAAATATCAAATTTGAAGATAAATGTCAAGTTTGAAGATAAATAGAAGATTTCCGCGGGAAAAAGAGTAATATCTAAATAAACGAAAGATTCTCGACAAACTCGAATCTGGGCGAAATGGAAGGACCAAACCGCCTAGGAAGGGAGTATATAAGCAGAAGGCAGAGGATAGGAGCAGAGAACGAGTTTTCAGAGCTTTCACCACCAAACTTCGCATTTAGGAATATTTCCGTTTTCGTTATCGAGCCGCGTCTCAACTAGGGTCTTAGTCTTAGATTGCTAGGGTTAGGAATCTCGCCGACGGCTCACGCAGCTAAGGTTTACTCTTGTTGTACCATCCTTACGCGAATTCGGAATAAGAAATCCTTTTGCTCTCAATCTCGTTTTTCTTTACATCTCTTTTTATTTTCTCATATTAATCGCGTTCTTGATTGCTTGTGTGCGGTTCCGCAGATAGCCGGGTCCTCTGGGAACTCAGGGTTTACCCAAAGATCCCTTGTTTACGAAATCTTGACAGTATGTGAATTTCGGTTCCCACATTTATTTAATTAAAAAAAATTCCGAAAATAGTACTAAGATTTTTAGGTTTTTAGCTAGGAGGAATCAGAATAGTACTTGGAGGCTAAACCCATTAAGGCTTGCTTCAATTATGATTCCAATAAAGAATTCAAATGGGACTTGGTGGTTGTTGGGCCAAATATGGCCCGCTAGCTGAGACTAATGGGCTCGAGCGATAAGAGTTGACAATGGGCCACTGTAAGCCCATTGGCAATTAATCTTTTGAGAAAAGAGTTAAATAGAAGTCGGAGGCTGTTTGCTAAGGAAGGGATGTCAACAAAACAGGTCACGGAGGAGAGCTCCGGACCTCATTTACAAAGAGCTAACAGGAGTAGCTCAGGCTGGTTGCGCAGGACCCGGTCAAAAGGAGGCTGTTGAGAATCCCCCAACTCACGGAGCAAATCTCGGAGGTTGGTTAGGATCAGTCAAACGTGGCTGGGAGCTATTTAAGGAGGAGGAGGAGATCAGAGAAAAGGATTCTTCCTGGACTCATTTTTAGACCTAAAGACTTAACACTTTTTCTTCATTGTAATCATCTCAATTCATCATTGTACTTCTGATCATCAAGTTCATCTTTGTAAACTCATTTCCTTATCAAAATCAATATAAACAAACGTATTCATTCATACAAGTTTTAACGGGATTCAGCCCACGATTGTCTTTTCTCCAATCTAAACCTAACCTAAAGTAGAGAGTGAGTTTTACCCCTCACATTTTGGCGCCGACTGTGGGGACGAGATAATCGAATCCCTTACTCTGTAACTTGAGAATGGATCCATCCAACCAAGCAACGAAACCATCTATCCCCGACCCCGTGATCCAGATCGACGGCTCACCAAATGGAAGAGACTCCAGTCTCTAGGTCCCGGAGCCTCGAAACGCCGATCACCGATCTGAGCAACAGCCTCCGGCTAGTGCTCAACCGAACCAGACCACCACTGGAATAACTAACCCAAGGTCCTCTAGTGGAAACAGCTCCGGGGTAACAGCCCCCGAGAACCCTCAGCGTCAACCCGCTCCGAATCAATCGGAGACTCAGCTATCTGAGATCCGTCGAATGATGGTGCAGTTAGTAGACAAAGCTCAAGAGAATGAGCGCACATTGCAACAGCTAACTGCTCAGCAGCAACGATTCGAAGAGCACTGCTCCAGATATGCAGGGACCTGTTCTCCAGACACCCTATGCTGGAACAGCTCCCGCATTTAAGCCACATGTAACTAGCGCTATGGGAAGTAACGTAGCGACAGGGACCTGTTCTCCAGATAGGCAAGGACCTGTTCTCCAGACACCCTATGCTGGAACAGCTCCCGCATTTAAGCCACCTGTAACTAGCGCTATGGGAAGTAACGTAGCGACAGGGACCTGTTCTCCAGATAGGCAGGGACCTGTTCTCCAGACACCCTATGCTGGAATAGCTCCCGCATTTAAGCCACCTGTAACCAGCGCTATGGGAAGTAACGTAGCGACAGGGACCTGTTCTCTAGATAGGCAGGGACCTGTTCTCCAGATAGGCAGGGACCTGTTCTCCAGACACCCTATGCTGGAACAGCTCCCGCATTTAAGCCACCTGTAACTAGCGCTATGGGAAGTAACGTAGCGACAACCAGCTCTATGCTTGATCGGGTTACTGACCAGAGCACACGCTTGCCACCTTCTCCACTTGTTTTCAGGTCCGGAGAAGGAATATCCTTTCCTTCTGGGGGCAGAACATTGGCTTCGGCTTATCGGACTGGGAATGTAACCCTGAATCTGGGCGCTCATTAAAGGGCGAAAGCTGACCCCACAGCTCACCCCACTGGTGACACTCATCAAAATAACCCAAGAGCTAGTGAGCAATTTAGCCATTCGGCTGCCTGGAAGAATGGCCAAACTCGACTCCGTCAGGAACCTGTTCGTCAGGTACCTAATAATGACCCAATTGTCCTTTCTCTAGGGGGACCTAAGGCTATTCACAGATATATGGAGCAAACTCATGCAGCTCTCCAAAAGTTGAATGCTCAAGTTTACAAAGCGACGAGCTCAGCTCCCGAAATTGAGAGTTTGATTGAGGAAACCCGTGGGACTCCATTCATTTACAGAATTGCTAGCTCTTACATAAGAGATATCCGAAAAATTAGGATCCCCGAATACGATGGAACCTCAGATCCTAAGGCTCATTTGAGAGCCTTCCGACTAGCTATCGTGAAAGCTCACTTTACGAAAGAAGAATGCGAGGCAGGTTACTGCAGAACATTCGCCGAAAACCTGGTCGGAACAGCTCTCGAATGGTTTTCGAGCCTTGAGCCGAACTCAAT